CCGTTGATAAATCCATCATTACCGTTTGGATTCAGGGAGGCAGTCGAGCCACTACATTCATCTTACATTTGCAGCGCTTTAATAGACATTTATTAAATGCTTTTAGAGAGAGGCATGGGGCGCGTGATTACATCCTAGTTATAGACAGAACATAAAGACCCACGTTAACACCCATTTGCAGGAAGGAAGGAAGAGGTGGGGAGGGGATGGGCAGACAGGGATGAAGGAAGAGAGACAGGGTAGCCGGCGCAGTGCCTGGGCATTAGCAAGGGCTGCCTGGTGGGGAGTGAGGTGAGAGACGCGGGAAGTCTCAGGCTGTGGAGAGAAGCATCTATTCCCCTCCAGTTCCAGGGGTTCCCTTCAAAGTCCCCCTGTACTCTGAGCTCCAATGCTCCTGTGTGCCTGGGGGGAGGGGGCTTGTACTCTCCCTGTGAGGGCACAGGCTACCACACAGCCTCTGCCAACCTTTCCTAGCCCTACCCCCTACCTATTCTAGTCTCTGCAACTGCAAATCTTTGGAGCCAAACTAGGAAGAGAGGGGAAGGAGCCCCCATTCTAGGGTCCCAAGAACTTCTCTGAAGCATCCCCTCCACCTCACCTCCCAAGCAGACAGCTACAGAACCAGCCCAGGCCTCCTGAACCACACAGCAGATGTCAGGTCCACTGTAGGGCAGCTCTGCTAGCTCCCAGGGCTTCCTGGCCTTGAAAATACCCTGGCACGATTTTCGCTCTGCCTGGTGCCTGGAGGAAACAATGTCACCTTTACAACCTTACCTGGACATGCCCTGAGCCTGAAGGGCTGTCAAGCCACCAAAGAGCCCAATGCCTTTCTGAGTGCACCAAGGGCCCTCACCTAAAGGCCTGATCTATTGCTCTGCCAGACCTGCCGCACTCTCGGCTCGCCCCAGCTTCCTTGGGAGACCCCTACCACCCGGCCAGCAGGACAGCAGTCCGCAGGACTCCTGGCCGCCCTGGGTCTTGGTAAGGAGCACTTCCGCTACCTCAAAGTTGCCATAAGAAAATAAATACAAGTGACATTGTACTGGGCCAAAGCTCATTAGTTCGTTGTCCAGGCCTAATAAAGGAACAGAAGCGCAAATTATAGAGTTCAGCTTCAACACACGCTCTGTCACCCGAGATCAGCATCCCGAGAGCCCGATTCCAATTGCTCCGAACTTGCTGCGCAGTCTGCCCCCTGCCCCACCCCCTCCTCGGGAGCAGGAGGTTGGGTGGAAAAATATAGTTCCAAAGGGGGTAATGATCAAGCTTTTCCTCTCGGAAGCCTGCACCACCTCATTTCCCATCAGTAATCCCAATAAAATTAACGTTGTGGCTGTGATTGAAAAGAGGAGGGCCGGCGACACTCCTGAAATAACACACTCTCCCCCAGCAAAAGGTAAAAAGCAAAACGGCCCTTTGTTCAGCTAATTAACGAAGGCCCAACTCCGAAAGCAGATGTGTTTGCTTAGCTAATCACAAGCATGTTTCTTTCAAGGAACGTCATTTTAAGGGGGGCCCTGGGGGTGGAGAGGGGGACACCACCCCCCAGGCCTTCCCCACCCGGAGGTCTCTCACCCAAGCCTAAAATCCAAAGGCCAAAGCAGGCAGCTCATCCCTCACACCTTGCTTCTCAAAGGCCCTAAACTGGAGGCCCAATAGGCAGGAACCTAAGCACTGACCCACAGGCCAGGCCTGCAAGACTCCAAGGGAAAAAAAAAAAAAAAAAAAAAAAAAAAACAACTTTAGATGACACAGATGCCATATTGAATGAGGCGATTTTACCATTCAGTTTGAATAGGATGCTAACTTATTCCAAGTGTGTTATCAGAGGGATAATAAAATTTATAACTCCAAGAGTCAGCTCTACGCCTCGATGACAATGGATGCTGAGAGGAACTCTGTATTAGGACATGAGTATCCTTTCCCGTTTTCAGGCATATTACGGATGCACCCGTCAGGTCAGACAGCAGAGCCTTTGTGTCACCAAAGGAAAGATTCTTCCTTTCCTCCTGCACCAGGAAACCGGGTCTCCTGGGTGGGTTAGCACTTGCCTAGCGTTTCAGCAAGAGCAAGGGAGAGAAAACGGAACCGAGACAGACTTCTAGATGCAGTGGACGTGGCCTGGCGGGCGGCGGTCAGCCCTCTAGTTCCCACAGTAAAACTATTCTCTCCATCTTTCTCTACCATACAAAAGATAGCTTTCCCCTACATCAATACAGTAAGCAAACTTTTAAAAACTGGGGTCCTATTTCAAACCAACGCCCAGCACTAACTGCTTTAAAATTACTGCATAATTAGATTTAGTTGAATTTCACCATTAATTAGGCAGCCGCACTGCAGGGAGCCTTTGAAATCTGAGAAAATGGGAAAAATCATCTGAAGCACATTTTTAAAGACCCAACTTCAATACATCTTGACAAGGCCTGGAATTTGGAGACTACTTTGCTCCTCTCCCAGGCGGAGGAGACAGGGGTTGTCCAGGCCGGGGTTGGGGCTGCATCTGGACGAAGCGGGTGATTCTCCCTGTGGTTGGCCGAGATCAAGGCCCGGTCCCGAGGTACCGGTCCTGGAGTGGCCCTGCGACGCCGTCCCCGGGAGGCCAGGCCTAGCCCAGGCCGCCCAAGCCCGCTCTCAGACCCACCGGAGAGAGCATCCGCCGCCGCGGGCGCGCTCGTGCAAGGAGGGCACGTTTTCCTGGGGTCTCCGGCCACCCTGCCTGGAACCGGCCGCCGGCCGCCCCCAAGCCGCCTGTCCCCGACTCGGGCGTGCCCGCCGCGGGGTCGCCCGTCCGGGCTCCGCGGCCGCCCCGGCCCGCACCCCGAGCGCGGACCCCGTCTGCGGGCGCGCCAGCCCCCGGGCCACTCCGACGCCGCAGCGCGTCCGTGCACGCGGTGGCTTCCGCTGCCTTCCGCCCTGGGTTCCCGGAAGGCGAGGGGGCGAGCGAGCGAGCGAGCGAGCGACTCTCGGATCGCGGGGCTGGGGGCTGGGGGCTGGGGCGCGAGCCCTCGATGCCGCCGCTCCACGGACGGAATCGCGGGGACGGCGCTGGGCGGCGGGCGGGAGCGGGGGCGGGCGGCGCCCCGCGTTTTCGTTCTCTCCGCGGGGCTTTCTCGGTGACCAATGTGTTTCCCATTAGCAGCCCCGCGCAGCCCGCGGCCCCGGCCCTGGGCGACGCCATGTTGGCTCCGCGCGCGGCCGGCGGCCGAGCTCCAGGCCGAGTTTCACACGCTCCGCGCCGCC